CCCCCTCCCCCTCCTAAATTTCATTCTGGCTACGCCGATGTACAGCAGCTGTCCTTCAATTACCTCAGCCGCGGAGCCTCCCCTATCACTGGAAGTTGCTATATCTGTCGGAACTCAAATAGGAAACAACGCTAAACTCGAATGCTTTGCATATCTTGTGCTTATCCAATTTGTGATGAACATTCAGTTTCAAAAAAGACGTGTATTTCTTGCGAAGAAACTCTCTAAAAATTTCAAAATGTATATTCTAAATCGTTGTTCTAAATTGAATTGTCTCGCCTGTTACTTTTTTATATATTTTATTATCGCTACTAATATGAATTAGCTCCGTTTGTGTTCCTTTTTTTATAACAAAATTATATAAAAATAATAATAATCTGCTTTTTTCTTCATACCAGATATATGAAGGTACAATTGTACCTATGCGCTCTGACGTGGGTGTAAATTTAACTCGGCAATATATTTCAGAAAATAGTGGCCCATTTTGTTTTAAATTAAGGGAACATGTGGCGCAACAAAAATGTAGAGATGTCACGAAGATCCAGCCCTCTAAGTTTTCTGGAAAAAAAGTTATTGTAATTTAAAAACACAAAAGTTACAATTGTACCTAGTCGCACGGACGAGGGTTAACTCGAGTTTAACGTTTTGAGTTTATTAACAACTGTCAAGTGTGCTTATTGGGGTGTTTAAGAAACTCAGAGTTTAATTTGACATTTGTTTGTTTACTTTTTCTTTTACACATTTGGCCTGTTCCCGTACTCCAGAATTTAGACAGAAATAGTCCAAAGTAGGCGTGGTGTAGAAAACCAACGGTTTATCCATGAAAAAGATATACATAAATAGAACTTTTCATGCTGATTGCAACCACAGTAAGATTATTTGACGCAAATAAAAACTAAAGCCAATAAAAGAGGTTAAAGTTAAACTTTTCTATTTTATATATTTATATGTTGATATTCTAAACACATGTGCACGGCACGACTTCGGACTATTTCTCATTAAATCTTGCAGTACGGGAACAAGCTAACTATCGGCAAGTTGGTTGCCGGTTTGGACACTTACAGGTCTATTCTGCACTGGTAATAAAAAGTTTGTAACCGGTAAATAAAGTTCCTGTCAATTTTTAAACCCTTTTCGCATTCTGTATACTCTTGTAACCGGTAAATTTTGTTGCCATCTCATAAGCTGGTAACAAATTATTGCCCCGTGAAATATGCAATGCCAGGATTTGCACAATTCTTCATAGCTGAATTGCTGAATATTTTAACTGCATTACCAAAGTACCTAGAATCGCGGTGACAAGAACTGGTAACATTTTTTGGTAATACAATTTTCCGGTAACAAAATCTTCGGTAACGTGCAGCATAGACCTGTTAAAGACACAAACCAAATTCGGTAAAAAAAAATGGTTGCATTATCATATACCTTGTTTATAGCGACACATAAAGCGCTTTGACCCAGTTCGCTGTGATGAATCACAACGGATGCATAAACTGAATTTCAAAACGCGTTGAAATTGAAAAGTGTATTGACTCGAATTGGTTTTCAAATCGGTTTTTTATTTCTCACATCGGTTACAAAACAGGTATAAACACATCACTCATTTGACGCGAAGTGAAAATAGGCTGATTTCCTTTATACAGCCCGTTCTAAATTGTAATCATTATTACAATAAATTTGAATTATTGTTCGCTTCCATTTCGGTAAACCGTGCAAATTATGTATTAAAGAAATATCCAATAAAAACAGCAAATTTTGCTTACTTTTGAATACGGTTTCAGCGAGTGCGCTATAAAGACACAGGTATAAACTCTTGAAAATAATATGTGTTCAGTAAAATCGGTTTTTGGTTAATGCGGTTCTTGCGTAGGTACAAACAAGGTAATAAATTCCAAATAAAAGTTGTGTTTAGGGAGAGTTAAACTCCAAAATGGCCCATAAACTCGAGTTAAAGGCTCAACGTGAACATAGTATAAGTTTTGTCATTGCCTGCTAAGGTGCGACTGCCATTTTGGGTTATGCTCATCATGGACAGGGCTGCCAACTATACTTAGCTGTGAAGTGTCATATTGGGGATAAAAAAGTGCCAAAATATACCAAACAGAAAAATAAAAGTGCCAAAAAGATGACATTGTTTTCAATTCTTCTCATTTAGCATTAAAATTAGAAACACATTCATAAACCAAAGTCCAATGCCTAAGTAAGATAAACCAGTTGCGTACACTATAGAAATTAGAAAATGTTAGTTGAGAAAAAGAAGTACACACAAAGAATATCACAAATTTATATTGAAATATTGCTATTTTTCAAAAAGTGCCATTTTGGCACTTTGTGCCAAATTGAAAAATTAAGTAACATATGAAGTAAAAAAGGGCCAAAATGGGCACGGTTTGAGCCAAGTTGGCAGCCCTGATCACAGATCTTACCTTGGTCCTACTGAATGGAAGTACGGACCCGTAATCACTCTGCTACGGCGGCCGCCATAAGTCCCTTATTGGTCTCAAAATTTATGAAAATTATAATATGCTTGCAAACAATTAATAACACTTTGTGATACATCCTTTTAAAGATGAATGTTGACTTAAATTTTGTATTTTTACTAAGTATTAATTTAATAAATTAATATTCTACATCATTATTTTAACACTTGGTAACAAAAATATTTATATTTCGCAACTCTTACAATAGAGACATTTGTAACAAATGTAAAAAAATTAAAAAAAATGTAATTTTGGTAATTTTAAGCCAACAGGCGTTCCTTACGAAAAAAAATACTTCGGAATAGATATGCGCATATTTTTTTCACAATATAAGGTGCCTTTAAGAAGTGGTAAACCACTAAATAGCTTAGAAAACGATTTCAAAAATTCGAAACGAGAGTGAAGTGTGCAGTGTTCTACATATTGTAATCAAAATTGCGGGCAAAATATGTGTATGTGTAATTAATGTAGAATTTGAACAAATGTTCAAAGTGCACAATACTGACCACTCCCAAAACTCAATAAATGGAGCAGAAGGGGTTTGGTATAATTTTCCTGCCCGTTAGCATAATTATCTGGTTTGCTTCATTTATGTTACAAAGAGGTTCAAGCACGGCACATTTGCGGAATTGAAGTCAAACTCAATCGAAGAATTCGCTCCTATTATTTAAAAAAAAAAATACCGTTTTTGAAGAAAATGTGTCATTGAAAGCTAGGAATTACCTCAGAAAAATTTGTATACCCACTTGTGCAGAAGGGTATTATAACTTTGTTCACATAACGGTTGTTTGTAACAGGCAAACCGGATCGAGATAGATATAGAAAAATGTCTACATAAATGGTCAGCATCAAAAGAGAAATCGATTAAGTGGTGACTGTCTGTCCGTCCGTCCGTCCGTCTATGTACACGATAACTTGAGTAAAAATTGAGATATCTTAACGAAACTTGGTACGCGGGCGTAGGACGGATGGTGTTGAAAATGGGAAAAATCGGACAATAACCACGCCTACCTCCCATATAACGGTAGTTTTCAGAAATAAGAAAACTGTGATATTTTAGTAACTACTGAAACTTATTCACAAAAAATTTACATTTACAATGATTTCTAGACGAAAAATAGGAGTATTATAAATTTTTGGAAAATGGGCCTAGCCACGCCCACTTATGACTACATGTGTATATCTTGCTAACCGCTACACTAATTTCTTCCAAACTCGGCGCAGTTGTTGGCCTTGGTACAACATACCAAATGGCTGAAAATTTTTAAAATCGGACCCCACATCCCATATAACGGTAAT